ACGTTCATGAGATGGGCGTGTCAGGCACCGCACTCGTGGTAGGTAAATGTTCATGATTACTGTCTTGTGGATCATTGTCTATCACTGTATTATTGTCACTATCAACTTCATCCAATTCAGGAATCATTATTTCATCGCCACTATCATCATCAGAACAAATCTCGTTCACAACATTTTCCAGCTGGTCTGTAGGAACACGAAGACACTTGCTGCAAGAAGCCATGGTGAAACTGAATGAATGTGAAATATTTTCTGACCTTTTCCTTCTCAGAGGGTTCTGACAGTAATATAGACCCCCACAAAGTTTACAAGGGTTCTTTACAAGCATGCACAAAAACTATCATATATATGTCTTTGGTTGATGAGTGCCAAGAGAGCAAAGAAGGGAAGAGATTGTCAAAGCGTTAAAACACGCCAACGCCAGGGAACGGCTGGCATCGTCCGGGCATTAAAACACGCCCGCGCCAGTCAAAGAGTTAAGAGGTATTTCCATCTGATGCGCATGTTTGTTCCATTTTGCTCTTACTCAGAGCAAGTAGTTACCTTTATCTTCGAGGAGACATCTATTGTTAAATGTTGGAAATGGTAAAAATTGTTTTCTAGATGGACAGTGAGAATGGGAGAAAGGAGTGCAGAATAGAAGTGACTGAATAGAACCATTGTATTTTATGCTATCTCAGCTATGCATTGCCCTCTAAACCTTTTCTGGCTGAATAAAAAGCTTTTATTATTGTCAGAATATGTATTATATTCCAGCTATGGGTGACACAGATACAGCAACCAGAGCCCAGTTAGTTGAAGTTGTTGAGCCAGTGGGTATGCCACCCAAATTCATTAAGTTGCTGACTGATATCTTGGCTCCAGAAGGAGAAAGGGTTACATTTGAATCATGTATGAATGGAGATCCCAAACCTGATATAAAATGGTATTTAAACAATGAAGAAATCCATGACTCTGAAAAGATACAGGTAAATACAAATGTGGTTTACAAGTATGCTTCAGTAGAGTGATTTATTCAGACTGTGGTCTTCTGGGTTTTGACACTATGTAGTCTTGTAAGGGGATATGAACATTTTGAGGAAACCTATGGTTCCATCTACAGGGTTGAAGTATGTAGAGTGAGGAACCAGTTGGCCTATATGGGCAGGCTGCAAAGTGGGCCCAGTCCAGACCAGTGAGAATGGTGAGTTGGTGAACAGCCCTTTTCACAGCCATCAGTTTGTTTTTCATCACAGGGAGAGGGCATCAGATTTGTCTGAAAAGATTGTTCTATTCAGGCCTACAGTATTATTTTTCATCTCATGAGGGAAAACAAATTTGGGAAAGAAGATAGACCATGTCAGGGTTCCAGTATTTCTTGTATGACAAGAAGAAAATTGGTATAATGAGAATTTAGAAAGGTATTCCATTTCATGTGGATATGAAGTGGAAAGTGAGAAATCTACCCATTTTCAAGGGCCCAGGTAGAAATTTGTTGTTTCTGGCAGAACTACATTCTCTTTGAAGGGAACTTTCCAATTCCTTTCTCTCAGGGAGTGGAGACCACGCAGTGTCACAGCCAAGAAGACCACAAACAGTGACTTCATGTGAAAACCTCTGTTTTGTTTAGTTTCAAATAGTTTGATTTATTTGTATGCATGCTCTTTGATTTAAGCTGAACCACGATGAGGAAGGAAATGTCAGCCTTACTATTCTGGAGGTGTCACCTGACAACAAAGGCGTGTATACAGTGAAAGCCTGTAACTCTTGCGGTGAAGCAAAATGTTTTGCCAATCTTATTGTTAAAACAATTAGCTCACCTGAGATTAAGCATAAAGTAATGGAAACACAAGAAAAACCTATAGCACCAGCTTTTCAAGAGCTTTTTGCTGATAGAGCAGTTAATGAAAATGATACTACAAAATTTGAGTGTGTTATCACTGGCAAACCTGTACCTAAGGTAAGTGCTGTTCACAAAATATTACTTGATATATCCACATAGTTTTATATGTGATAAAATATAGGAGGAGGAAAATTAGTAGTTTGACAGAAAGACCAAAATATTTTATAAATTAAGGTTTAAATTCATGTATTGTCACAAAAATAAACAAGTAAATCTTTGAAGAAAGTTGTCTTCTGGGTTTAGGCACCGTGTATTCTTCGTTTTGGCCGACGTTTCGGAGGAACGTAGCGCCTCCATCTTCAGAGCAGTTGAATAGCTGCGGAGAGCAGTAGCTGTGGTGATAGGATGTGGAAGGTGCTGCTTATATACGAAGTAGGCAGGGGGGTGGTTAGGGAGAACGGACCAATGGGAGCAGTGGAGAGCGATTAAGGCCATATATGGTGTGTGACTAAGGGAGAGGGGGAACGGCCAGTGAGTACAGGAAACTTGAGGTCAATAGCACTAGGAAGTGCGGTAGTCAAGAAAAACCGGTAGGTTGAGGACAGGCTATTGACGTCAATGACATGACGAAGAACTGGTGTGGCTAGTAGGATTCTCTTGAGGGAAAGGATGTTTCACGTCTGTCGAGATTGTTGAGAGCGATAAAGACCATATGATGTGTACTAAGTAGGGGGGGGGACGGCCAGTAAATCCAAGAACTTGAGGTCAATAGCACTAGGAAGTGCGGTAGGCAAGAAGAACTAGTTGGTTGGGGACAGGCTACTGACGTCAATGACATGATACCGGGGGACAGGCTACTGACGTCAATGACATGG